AACTATCGACAAACAGCCTGTTCGGGAGGCCGTATCGTATCGTGGATTATTTACTGCTGTCTGGTTTGGTGTGAGAGAAAAACGCTGTTCTCGGCTGAAAATTTACGATCGTTTACGAGCAAGCGAACAGGCTAGCACTTAATAATCTACGCCGATCAAGATCCTGCGACCACCGGCGTCCCAGGATCAACGACGTGAATACGTACGCTGAACAACCGCCACTATCCGTTCAGTTGCTCTTGCTCACCTGAGTGCATGATGGCCGCCTACGCCTACCTCCTGGCCTAACAGCATCTCCAGCAGGACCCCTACAGCCTACCTCACTTAAACTGCCCTGCAACACAAAATCCCTCCGCCTACTGACCTTAATTGGAGTATAGACATCGGCGTTTCTTCATGGACGTCGCTGTAGTTTGCAGCTGTCTAGCTCTTGGTCACGTGAAATTGAAATGGATAGAAGGCGAGTGCAAGCTGGAACGCGACAGAGATATTTTGCTCCCTTCGATTTCAAAATACAGACAGATCTTAGTCTTAGCACTACTATTCTGGTAGCAAATACAGTTGTAGTTCGTTATAGGCGTCACATCAGTGGAAACAAATTCCTCTAGCATTACTTAGCGCCGTTTTTTTATACTAATCGCTGAGGAGATTAGGATGTGATACTGATAGCCATGACGGTACAGAGGAGAGGATAGGGAGAGAGGGCGAGCCCAGGATTCACTAATAAAGCGATTGACAGCTAATGGTGAGCAGAAGAGGCAACAAACAAATTGTTGTCTTGCAGATCACAGGGTGTATATCATCTGGTGTAGAAAAACGAAACGAAACCTTGGTAGTAGGACCGGACATGCATCACATGGTGTACATTAGACTGATCGATCTCCGTCCCAGATTAATTCTTCAAGCAGCAGAGTCAATTTGACGTCCCTAGCTACGTACTAACGGTACCAGACCAACACCAACCTACGCCGTTCATCACACTATCACAGATTAATACATCTATAATATCACCCTCACGCCATAACCACTGAAAATAAAAGCCTCGTGCGCGCTTGTGGAACTCCTCGATCTGCCGGTCACCCACGCACACGCCACGACGTGCAGCACGCCTATCATCACTACCAGAAAATGGAAAATTCCTTAGCGGTTTAGAATATTCTTGAGCTTCGAAATCCAAATGCTCAAAAAATAATCATTTCGTTGTGGTTGTAGAAAAACCGTTAGGTGCCGTTTGGATCCCTTTATTTTAGAGAAATTGAAATATACATAATGGATTAGGCTATTTGATTTGGAATTTGATATTCCATAACTTTCTCAAGCTCACAAATAAGCCTATCTCAAATTCATAGCGTGAAGGATGGAAATAGATTCTATAGATCATTATGTTATAATTCTATTCTTCAACTTATACCACACTTTTCAACTCACTTTCTTACAATAAAAATGCAACATATAAGTATGTCCCTTGTATGCGTAATGATAAATATACAAATATATTCCATATACAACTATATTAGCTTAATTAATCTATACCTAAATTATAATTATTAGAATAAATTCAATTCTAAGGATCCAAACAGACCCTTAAGGTAATTTGTATCATTGGCGGTTCTATTCAACCACTAAAGAATGCTAGTATAGAAAATATCTTTACTGGCGGTATTTTTCATATTTATACTAGTGCTTCTACCGATCACTAGTGTGAAAGGCCAGTAAAATTCAGCAAATTTTGCCGGTGTCACCTAACAGCCTCCACTGTAAACTGATTTACACTCGGGGCCAATATAAATGGTTACATGATTTTTTAGAAATGGCAAATCAGGGTAAAAAATATTAAAATTTTATCCAGGAGGTCCGCACTCGGTAGCCACACACGGTTTTCAACATTTTTTTTCATTTTCGCAAGAAATACACGCATATGTGGGAATCGAACTCAAAACCTTAGGCCTTGCACATTACACCCTTTACCACTGCAAATCCAAAGTCACTTACTCCCTCCATAATGTAATATAGTGCATTGTGACTTCTAAATTTTGTACCGAAATATTGTGCATTCTACATGGTGTTGATACCTAAATTTGGCAAAGTTTGTAAAAACAAAACCATAATTTAAGGAGAAATAACTTAATTGGGTTTAAATATATGGATACATGCATCATTTGAGGATTCCCTTAAGTTGTCTTAAAAATTTTAGAATGCACTATATTACAAGATGGAGGGAGAATGACTTAACAACAAAAATATTCCCTTAGTATTCACTCTATGAGATTTTGAAATGGAAATTTGAAGCCCAAAATAGATTTAAATGAAAGAGTTCCAAATACAAAGTTTTAGATTTTGTAGAGATCTATAATTTTGCTTTTGATCGTTTTTCCATCCGAGATCATTTGAGGAATTAAAAAAATATGAATTTTAAAATTATTAATCTTAAAACATAACTTCCGAGACCTAAATGATTTTGAATGAAAAAGTAGTCAAATATAAAGTTATAATTTTTTTTTGAATACTACTTTCGTTCAAACCATTTCTCCATCCGAGATCATTTGAAAAATTAAAAACAAATTAAATTCAAATTATTTGTAGTGGCACTAGGTTAAGAAAACAGCAAGTACAAACGAATTTACACTGTCGGTTCATAGTTATAGGCCCATAATTTCATTTCTACTGGGGCCAATACATTATGAACCGTCAGTGAAAAAAGTCGCAAGCGTCAGCAAAAATTGATTTTGTACTAGTGGAAATATGTAATTTTCCTTGAGTGTTATTGGTTCACTGCCAAGAAAAATGGTTGTTTCCTTGAGTGCTATTTTAAACCATCAAGAGAAATCACCATTTTAAAAATGATCTCAGATAGAGAAAATGGACTAAAGTAAAGTTGTAGGACTCGAAGAGATCTAAAACATATTCTAGTTTAAAGTTTTTTCATCTAAATTCGTTCAATTTTGAATATATATTACAATAATTACTATAGTGAATACAAAAGGCATTTATCAGCCACTAAGTCACAAGTGCTTTGAAGTGCAGTGGTAAAGAAATAACACGTGAGCCTTTAAATTTGGGACGTGCCGGTGCCCGGACGTGTCGTTGGACGGCTGTTTCCGCGCACGCCTTCACAGCCTGCCCCCGTCCGTTAATTCGCCCTACCCACATGCGCATCATGCCACATCATGACCATACGACTTGCTTGCAACCCGCCCCATCCGCCTAGATTTGACCCGCCCCATCCGCGCACCATACCCCGTCCCCACCCGTTCGCCCCGCCCCGTAGGCGCACCCCGCCCCGTCGTGCCCCTGACTGCCGGCCCCCAGCGCGCCGCACGCCACGCGTTCGCGGCTACCCGCTCGCCGCACCCCATTCCCTAGCGCCCGTGCTGCCACCATCACTCCCTCGCACCCCCTGACTCTCCAAAAAGCATGAAACACGTGTAACATGAAACAATTAAATGCAACATACATCTGAAACAGATGAAACATACACTTGCAGTATATTTGTGAAAATATATGCAACATCCAGATAGAACACTTGCAACTTGCAACATAAAAACACTTGCTGCAACGGAATACTAGAACAATGAAACATTTGGAATATTCTGTTGCAATATATGTGAGAAATATATGCAACATCTAGATCAGAACACTTGCAACATATGTCTGGAACAAATGAAATATTTTGAACAAACTCTTGCAACATGTCTCTGAAACACTTGCAAGATATGCAACATGTGCAACATCCATATCAAACAACTGCAACATACCTATAAAACGTCTGAAACACTTGAAACATATATTTGCAACATAGGGGAGGGGGAGCGCTTGTGCCGGTCAATTCCGCCCGTCGGGGTGGGAGCCGGCGGCGAGTGGCGGCGCACGAGCACCGCTAGCATCTAGCACCAGCAGTGCGTGCGAGCACCATCGCCACCAGCACCGGGCTTGGGTTGGCCGGGCGGGTGGCGCGCGTGATGGGCGCAGCGAGGACCACCAGCACTAGCGCGCGCGACGGGAGGGAGCAGGTGACGCGCGTGACGTGGCGCGAGTGAGAGGCGGCGGATGGGGCGTGCGGCAGCAACGAGTGAGGGGAGTGTGGGTCCGCGTCCAGGACGAAGACAGGGGAGGAGGAAGCGGAAGGGATAAGGATGGGTCATTTTCTTTTAATAAACTTGCAGGCAGAGTGAGCGGCGGGGTAAAGCGCATGAGGCGGTGGGTCTATGGGTGCTCGTGTCGGACGTAAGACCGTGTAGCATTACCGTTTAAATTTTGGTTGGCTGAATCGTCAAGAAACTCACCCTTGGGGTTGAACCGCCAAGGAAATTTAATTTCTCTACTGTACTTGGTGGCGTTTTGTTTGATGGTTGCCCCCACAAGAAACAAACATTTTTTTGGCGGTTTTCATATATATATTTTACCTGGTGGTTTTTGATCGTCAAGAAAGAAATTTTCGTTTTGGTGTGTAGTGTATCCTAGTGTTTGCTTATCCAATACGTAAGCACGTACTCCTCCTATCCATGTTTTTTCATATAAGGCAGGTAGGAGGATATATACAGTGCATAAACGTACTGTGTGGATACATTATCCCGTGTGATGATGATCATTATTCGAGATCCTGAGAACGACCGGATATGGATACCACGTCTCGATATACTCCTATATCCTGGCCCGCAACCCACAACGTTGATCATACCACCACACAGGCACAACGAGGATCTACACCTTTTGGCCAGAAACTGACGCGTCGTGTGCCCGGCCCGTTTATAAAATTGACACCCGAGTACCCGACGACGACGGCGCAGCGAGTTCCTCGTGCCAATATCCTTCCCCCGCGCACAAGCCCTCCTAGGTTCCTCCTGCTATATAAACGACGATCGCGTCGTCGCTGCGTTCTTATCCGGGAGCACACACAGCACAGCTCACATACGGTGCTAAGCGCTGACGATTGAGTTGGAGGTAGCTCTCGAGACCTTGAGCCGGTTGTGGTGCGTGCGCTGGCGGGCAGATCATCATCGATGGCTCTGGAAGCGGAGACGGTGCTACGGCCGCTGTTCTTGGCAGCGGGCAGCGGCGGCGACGGGGAGGTGTCGGGCACCCCGGTGTTCCTTGCCACGGAGAAGGACCGGCCGGTGGACCCGATGATCTGGGGCGACGAGAAGCGGATGAAGCGGGAGCTCCTGGTGTGGGCCAAGGCCGTGGCGTCCATGGCGGCCAGCAGCAACACCTCGTCGTCGTCGTCCTCGCCGTCGCGATCCACGAGGCGCAGGGGATGATAGTGTCCGGAGTCCGGTCCGGGTTTTTTATGGTTCAGCTTGTAGTAATAATCGAGCTTTGTAGATGGATCGATCGGTGAGCTGAGCCTTCGCTTCATCTGTTTTTGGCTTAGCTTATTTGTGCTAAACTGGTGCATCTAAGCTTTGCTTGCTTGATTTGATTTGGGGAAGGCTGGTCTATTTGTTTTTATGTTTTATATCTAGTGGTAGCTTAGTCGATTATCGCTGATTTTATGTGTATATTTTCCTGTAAGATTATTTTTTTATTTTCCTGTAAATAGATATATATATATATATATATATATATATATATATATATATATATATATATATATATATGAATATAAGATCAAGAGGTACATCTTGATTGGCCTATAAGAGGAGCACTACTGTTTTGAGGTTTGAAAGCTATATTGTGAACCTTCAACACACGGATGTGATGAGGCCACTAGTTTAAAATAGTTTAATTTCTTTACTGAAAGCTTTACTCTCTGTAAAAGAACCTAACCTTTGATTTCTATTGTGACCATATTGTAGTATGCGCTTAAAATGATGCGACTACAATACTGGACGTTAAAAATGTGATTTGGCTATAAGCCCCTTCGATTTTCACCTTAAAACCTACTCCCGTGTCCTAAAAAAAATGCTAATCTGGATTATTAAGGTAACCACATATGATGCTTGGCTATACTGCAATTGGATTCTGATGTAGCAGCACCTAATTTAATCATTTGTGTGCCACTGTGGCTAATACATGGTGCAAAACAGTGCTTAGACATGTATAGGCTGAAATGGGAGTTATTTGCAGTATTCTATGGCTTGAGGCTAATATGAAGGTGGCAACTTAAAGAAGCCCAAACTCCCGTTCTCTTCTCTGGTATGGCTTGTTCTTGTTCTTGAAGTTGGAAGAGAGCTAGGGTTTGAGAAAAAAATAGATGATGCTTTGGAATGCTAAATCCGCCAATATACAAGTGAAATTGCGGAGATTTGGAGCTTCCCCAATCTTTATTGGCTCTGACATCTTATATCCTTCATCTTTATAGTGGATTGCTTGCTCACCACCACTCGTGGTTTTTATCCGCAATCGTTTTCCATGTAAATCTTCGTGTCTCCACTTGATTTGGTATTTCCATTGCCACAAGAAGTGTTGATTTCTAACTATCGTGCTTACTATTGATTCTATTTGTTCAAATTCATGATGTATGGTGAGTAAGTATATGAGGCATACATTTTTTATATGTTGATGATGGGAATTGATGTGTTAGCATGGGCAGAGCTAGGCTAAATTTGAGGGGGTGCACTTGCTTTTTGGGTGCGTAGAATTTTATTGTGAGAGTACGAATATGGTAAAAAATAGTCATAATCACTATTGGGTGTGGCCGCATAATTTTTAGCAGCTAACTATTAGTTGTAAGGATCCAAACAGACTCTAAATGTGGTGCTGGCTCACAACATGCCAGGAAGAATCAAAAAAATTGTGCGAAATGGTTGCCGCACTTTGGAGATCACCACAATGGAGATAGTTGCTGGACAAGGGTGGAGGTTTCCACATAGGTTAGTTAAAGGTGTTGGGTCTCATTTTGCTCTTTTGTTCGTTGAATTATGAGCTTGCTTTGCTTGATTTAGAACAGCTACAGCATGACCCTCTTGTGGAGGCTAGGATACTTGTATTCCATTATTAAAAAAACATGCCGGGAAAACAATGACGAAAGTACAAATGAAAAAAGGAATAGCATGGAGCGGCCAGACTTGGTGGTAGGGATGATGTCGCTTGGGAAGGAATAGGCATGAGGCGAGGGAACAAATGGCACAGTGAGCATCAAAGCGAACGGAAGGTGATGCAATTTGGAACGAGGAAAACACAAACACTACCATTGGCTCTGCTTGTGCACACGTTTATGCTCCTATTTCACTCAATAATTGCAACATTTCATATAACTTACACTTGTTAAGCTTGATAATCTTGCATTTTCCACTTTGTTTTGTCTTTTGGTATTCATTGAATATTCATAGGACTTTGGTCGAAAGTGGACAGATTTGATACAATGTGCTAGATGTATGAATGTACACACGTGACAGATGAAGCCCAAAAATACCTAAATGGGCTTGGGATCATTGGCATAGCCCCATAGGTCAATTGCCTTTGTTGGATCATGGGACCCTCAAGGTCCATCTTTAGAGAGTCGGCTCTAGTCTAGAGACTGAATACTTGACAGGATTCCCTAAAAAAAAGAATACTTGGATGAGAAAGGTGTGACACCCTGTATTTTTCCTTTGTACTAAAATTCACTAATATTTGGAATTATTTAAAATTTTACGACAAATTAAAATTGGTTTGCTTTTTGCCTGCAATACCATGTTAAAAAATATTTTTTAAAGCTTTGTATCAAAATTCATCATATTCATTTCCTTCTTTTCTTTCATTCTTTTGTTTTTCAGAATTTATTTGTGGCGCCAAAAATCTTTCCTTGAGACTTCCAACCCTTCTATATATTAAATTTCCTAAAAGAATATTCTCTTCCTTTCCTCCTAATCAAACCCAACCAGCCAGCCATCCGCTTCCCTTTCTTTTTGGACCAGCTAGCTAGCTAGCCTTTTTCTCAGCTCGTTCCTCCTTGTCACAGAGCGTCCTTCTTTTCCTTCCTGACCTGAGTTGGTCTTTCATGATCTAGAGTGTGATTCAGATAGATCCTGTGAGTGGGTGCCTGGAGCCCTGGAGCATACTAGTTACTAGGAATGCCAAATGCTCGCTCGGTGAGGGGGCTCTGTTGAAGAAGAGTGTAACTAGAAATATGGAATACCTATGTCAGGCAATGTAAGGCCAATAGTCGAGGTCTGCTGCCGCTCAATCTACCCCATCCTTCCGCACCCACCGCGCCACCGGCATAGTTCACCCTCTCTTTTTTATCACTAGTAAACATGTACGTGTGTTGCAACGAAAGAAAAAGTGCTACATAACTATTTTTTGTTTCCCTCTTTTTATAAAATTTGAGAGCTATAATTTATTTTGGAACGCCATCCAAAATATAAGCAAATGTTGACAATAATATGAAAATATATATATGTCAAACTAAAATGGGTTCATGATAGATTTTTTCTCACATTGCTACACACAAAAATCTTTGCTCGTAGATACATCTCAAGTGTAATTTTTTATAATATCCATATGTTTTTTTGGTCTCTCATCTAAGTACAGCGGTAGTATCTATTCGGATACAAACACACACCACCACACACACGCACACCTCACACACACACGTATACGAACAAACCTACGACTATACCTAGACAACGAACGCAGCTGAGAGGTACTCGAAGATCACCAGACTCCGAACGTGGTGGGCACGTCACTTGACCATTGTGGCACATCTACGCGAGAGGCAACTGAAATTATTAACGAAGAATAAATCTCCGAGGTGAGGGACGAGCGCCAAGTCTGGGACTCGAACGCTGATCGGCACGGAGCAAGCCACAGGCTCCTGCCACTCACGCCATGCGAGTTTCACAAATTCTTTTGAAAACACGAATATATAACTCAAGTCAGCGTGGAGTTAGTTAACAATATATCAAGTGCTAGTATGTCTAATGATTATGACAGAAGGCCTCTCTCAATTTTCCACATAGTTCCATGGTCAGGGATTGCAAGTACATGATGCACATTTATTTATATCAGACTAGATAACAAACTACTGAAGTCTAGTTTCACGGTTTGATTAGTTGGATTATAGACTAAATCAGGTTATAATAATATGAGTTTTGCTTTTAATTAAAATTTAAATTGGTGGTAGAAATATTTATTTCCTATTAGTGAATGGTCAGAGTTCAAAGCCTAAATATTATGTTGTTTTTATTCTTTTATTTATAACTTGTTTCTATTTTCATATTACATATTTGGTTGAACGTGAAAAATGAAAACAATTTAATGAAAACACGCCCAGTTGAATATGAAAAATAAAGAAACCGGAACCGAAAAAGAAAACGTAACTGAACGTGTTTACACTAAAATTTGGGAAGAAGAATTGCAGAAACTCGAAAGCACCCAAGATCGTGTCATCAAGGAATCGATTGCATAAAGATCGGTATCAGCTGATTCGAATGCAGTACTGGAATCGGCTCTCTTCAGATAGCGTCAGCAGATAACGATAAAAAGTTACGGTTGGCGTCAGAAAAAACATGTTGGATTCTACGAAAAGAGAAAGATTAGAGTCCAAGCTATCGTAAATTATGAATGTTTTCTCTTATGCCAAAGATTATAATGAGTCGTGCTTAAGTAGGATTCATGCGTAGGTTCCGGGTATAAATATTGGTCCCCGGCTATTGTAAAGGACATACAATCAATCAAATATAAGTTACTTATTTTTTTTTTGCTCCGGCCACCCCTTAGGAGTAGGAGTAGAGTAGATTTCAGCGAGTTCTTCAGCGAGCAGGGCTGCATCGGTTCAGCCGACCTCCGGCTTATCTATAAGTACCGTCATGGCTTATACTTCTGTTCGTACGGCTGCATCGATCCGGTCGACCTCCACTATGACTCTAGTATAAGCTAGTTATCGACTCTTGTCTAGTTCAACTACGGCTGCATCGATCCGGTCGACCTCCACTGCTCGAATTAGATTAAGATCAAGTTATCGGCTCTATCTAAGGGTGACGTCCTTCAGGTAGATTCATTAAATTACCGATCTTGCTGATGTTTTTTTATTGTTATTAGTTTACAGCAATATCAATCCACCCGGTCGAGATCGAATTAGATCAGCCTTATATCCTTTCAGTCCGTCGTTCGCTTTACTATAACACGATGTTTTCTTACTCTGAGCGACGAATTATGCTTCATCAGCTGTTTTTACTTCGATCTTGATCGTGCATAGTACACGGTTAAGGCATGAATAATCTTGAAGAGGTTTGTTGGCTAGTTGAATCTGGTTTATAGTTCATCATTATGGTTGTAACGATCCGGTCGATCCCCATTGATGTCACTGTAGATTGGAGGATGCTGGTTAGTAGAT